TCCAACTACACCAACCTTTTTGGCTGTTCTTCAATATGCCATGGACACTCTTGCTCTGCTTGGAGTGCACTTCTTCTGGGTGTCTGAATTTGCTGTTTCTCACCATCTTCAGTCCCTCTCAATGTCACCTGCTCAGAGGTCATCCCTGACCACCTTTGAAATATTGCAGTCTGCCTCAGCTTTATTTTTCTTCTCTGCTTTAGTTTTCTCTTCTTTCCTCTGCTTTATTTTCATTTTTATTATTTACCAAAAATGCTATCGCCCTGGCTGGGTAGCTCACCTGGTAGGAGTGTAGTCCTAATGCACCAAGGTTGCAGGTTTGATCCCCAGTCAAGTCACATAAAGGAATCAACCAATGAATGCAGAAATGGGTGGAATAACAAATTGATATCTCTCTCTCTCTCTCTCTCTCTCTCTCTCTCTCTCTCTCTCTCTCTCTCACACACACACACACACACACACACACACCCTCCCTTTCTAAAATCAATAAAAGCAAAACAAAGGTCTGGAATAGTACCAGGCACATAGTATGTGTTCAATAAATATTTATGGAATGAATGATTATTTCTACTCCAAATCTTCTGATGAATCACTAAGCCCCATAACTCCTACCACCTGTATATATATCCTGAATCCTCTCCTTGCCATCTACTTTACCACTTCGACTCTAGTAGATATGCCAACTTGATATCAGCACTCCCTATTTAAAATTCTTCTAAACTCTCTGGCATAACATAATTCTCCCCATCAATTGGCCCTGACTCTCTCTCAATTCCATCTACGCCACTGCCATCCAAACCTCTAGCTATAAAGATCTCCTTGCCTTCACAACCCTGAATCCACTATTTCTCATTTTCCTTGGTGATTTTCACTTCCTGAAATACACTTCTCATCTGTCTAACTCCTATATAACCTTTAGACCTCTCAGTTCTGACATCATCATCACCTCAGATTGACCCCTTAAGTCTAGCTTAGACTGCCACTGACTTGCTGGGCCTACACACTGCAAGATCATTGGCTGATTGCTTACCTATTGCCACAGAATATGAGTGACTTGGAGATAGGCACCATATCTCATTTATTTTTCTATATTCAGCCTGATGCACAGAACCTGGCACATAGTAGATCCTTGATAAATATTTTTTTTGGATAAAATAATGGATGGGAGATAGAATGGATAATTATCCTATATAATACAAGGTTAATATGTAAGTAGACCAAACAGTGGAATGACCGATTGCTATGATGCACACTGACCACCAGAGGTGAAACGCTCAACCCAGGAGCTATGGTGGCAGAAGCCTCTCCTGTCTCCAAGGCAGTGCTAAGGCCTTGGCCTAAGCAGGCAGGTGGATACCCCCCTGAAGGGTCCCGGACTGCAAGAAGGCACAGGCTGGGTGAGGGACACACACACACACCCCTCCTCCCCAGTGCACAAATATCGTGCACCGGACTTCTAGTAACAATATAATAGTCTGGTTTATTCTCAGATCCTATTTATAAGTAGCACATGAAATCTTCCTAATACTCCTAAGGAAGTAAGTACTGATGAGAATTCTAAAGCCAAGTTGTTTGCCTACAGCACATGTGTCAAACACAAGGCCCGCGGGCCAAATCCGTCCCGCCAGGCCTTGCAATGTGGCCCGCACCGCGCTGTCATCACTGCACTCCGCTGCGTTTCCATCACAATGACAGTTTATGACTGTTCAGTAAACCATTCGGCCCGCGATTTAGGCTGGATTTTAGATTTTGGCCCCTTCTCTGATTGAGTTTGACACCCCTAGCCTACAGTCACACAGTATATGGCAGAGACAGGATTCAAACTCAGGTGTCTGGCACCAGACTATATTCTTTTTCTTTTCTTTTTTTAATTATGTTGGAAGTTTGGGTGAAAGGACAGACTATTTTTTTTTTAATTGATTTTTTAAAAATTGATTTTGAGAGAGAGAGAGAGACATCAATGTGAGAGCGAAACATTGATAGACTGCCTTCTGCATTCCCCTTACTGGGGATCAAGCCCACAACCTGGGCATGTGCCCTCACTGGGAACTGAACCGGCAATCAAATTACACCAAACCAACTGAGCCACACTGACCAGGGCCAGACCATGTTCTTAACTACTATTTTTATAATTGGTAATGGATGAATGGATGTAGCATACCAGGGTATTCCAAACAAAGAAACAACAGAAACAAAGTGAGAATATTCACATTATTTTTATGTGGTTTCTATGGCCAATAAATTTGGCCACACCTGCAATTAATTCCATCCCACAAAATACTCATTTCTTATAGCATATATAAAATTAAAACCTTAATCATATTTTTGAAAACACACTTGTATTCATTCTCTAATGTGACCCTAAACCTCAGATCCTAGATGAACTAAACCCTACCTCCTTTGACACACACTTCTAGATATTGAGATCATAACGTTGAAATGTACCCTGAGCCCTGGCCGGTTTGGCTCAGTGGATAGAGCCCTGGCCTGTGGACTGAGGGGTCCCATGTTCGATTCCAGTCAAGGGCATGTATCTTGCTTGCAGGCACATCCCCAGTAGGGGGTGTGCAGGAGGCAGCTGATTGGTGTTTCTTTCTCATTGATATTTCTAGCTCTCTATCCTTCTTCCTTCCTCTCTGTAAAAAATCAATTAAAAAATATATATAAAGAAATGTATACTGAGTGGCCAGATTATTATGATCTCTGAATGCATAATAATCTGGAGATATATATATATATATATATATATATATATATATATATAATATATATATCTCCAGATTATTATATATATATTAGAGGCCTGGTGCATGAATTTATGCATGGGTCTGGATATATATATATATTAGAGGCCTGGTGCATGCATTTATGCATGGGTCTGGATATATATATATATATATATATATATATATATATATATATATATATTAGAGGCCTGGTGCATGAATTTATGCATGGGTCTGGATATATATATATATATATATATATATATATATATATATATATTAGAGGCCTGGTGCATGAATTTATGCATGGGTGGGGTCCAGCCAGCCTGTCCAGTGGGAGGGGACATGGGCGGTTGGCTGGCCTGCCTGCTGGTCAAACTCCTAGTCAAGGGGACAATTTGCATATTAGCCTTTTATTAATAGGATATTCACTGAGTGGCCAGATCATTATGTGTTCAGAGATCATAATAATCTTGCCACTCGGTGTATATCTACATTCACTCATTCGTTAAACAAACACTTATTGAGTGTCTACTTTGTGCCCGGCACTGTCTTTACGCAGAGACTACTGGTACTAGAACACACGCACCATATGTAATGTAACCACATGCATGTACAGGTTCTTCCGTGAGGCCACGGCATGCTGTGGTTAAGATCCCACGCTCTGGAGCCGGCCGCCTGCATTAAACCCCAGCTCTGCCACTTTCTAGCTGTGAGACTTCAGCAGCGTCACTTCTCCGTACTGTGCTTCGGTCTCTTCACCTACAAAATGGGCACAACAGCATTCTCTGTCTCCTGGGGTTTTTGTGAGAATCAGTACATGTACAGTGCTTGATGTCTGGACAATACTCTGGTAAGCACTAGTTCAAGGTGAGTAACTTCTGAGAGAGTGAGCTTCTGGTGTGTGGCTGTTTTCCATTATAAACTAGGAAGAAACTGATGAACAAAAAGATACAGAGACAGTAAAGAAACAAACATTGTCAAATTACAGTGGGGAGGATAGGGGGATTTGGGGGAGATAAGAGATCAATCAACCCAAGGACTTGTATGCATGCATATAAGCATAACCAACGGACCCAAAACTCTGGGGAACAGAGGGCATATATGGGAGTGGGGAGGAGATTGGTAAGGTATATACACATATAATACATTAATAAAAAAATGAAAAAAATAAATAAATTTAAAAAAAACCTAAAAAATAAAATAAAATAATAAAAAGAAATCTAGCCGAAACCGGTTTGGCTCAGTGGTAGAGCGTTGGTCTGCAGACTGAAAGGACCTGGGTTCGATTCCGGTCAAGGTCACATCCCTGCTGGGGGTTGTGCAGGAGGCGGCTGGTCGATGTTTCTATCCCTCTCCCCTTCTCTCTGTAAAAAATCTATAAAATATATTTTAAAAAAAAGAAATCGGGAGAACTTCTCTGGGTGGGGAATAGGTCCTGAAGGGAAGTAGAGGAATTACCAGCATTTGTTGCCATAACAAAGCCCATTCTTGGTCTGGGGTGGGCCTGAGGGCCTCTAATTTACATTCGTGCTCCTTCCCTCCCAGCGGGTGGGTGGAGGCGGGAGCAGTCAGCGCGGGCCCAGGGCTTTGGCAGAGGTTGGTGCTGAAAGAACGAACGAAGGTCAAGGGACTCCTGTTGAAGGCCTTTCTCAAAATCAAGGATTTGGCTTCTGAGATTAATGTTTGGAGCGAACCCCTGCTACACTTAATTCCCTTTTCTGTAAACTCAGTGCATTTTTAAAATTCAGTCAGGGGCCCTCCATGGTGTGGCATGGAAACCACAAGCCAGGGCGCCAGTCTCGCCGAGTTCCGAATGGCCCTCCCTCCTCCTTTGACCGGGCGCTGCTGACTGCCTTCTCGGGTTGTCCTTGGGCTAAATCCCTCGGATTAAAGAGTGCCCAGGAGTAACTTGTCTTACATGCACATATTGGATCCAGCGGGGAATGTATTATGGAAATTTAAAGAAATAAAAGATTTTTTTTTAGGTTTTTCCGGCATGTTGTCTGTCTGGCTAACATAAGCTCATAAAAATTCAAAAAGATAAATAAAGGATTTTAAAAGAGGTTTCTGTGAGAAGTCAGTGGCTACCCTCTGAGGATCTTTCCTGTGGAAATTATGGAGTTGAAAGGTCTCTCTGGGTCAAGTGCATGTTCTAGATTAAAATAGAGCTTATTATCTGAATAATTTCTGTTGGGAAGAAAATATCAGCAGCCTCAGTAGAAAGTTTGGGTTCATGTCAGTCATTTGATCCCATCCAGCAATAAGTTTTTCCTGTCTCAGGTAAAATTAGGAGAAATGAGGGAGACAGAGGGAAAATAAAACAATTGAGAAGGTATTGTTATCCTTTGTCACACTATAAGATGGTACCTAAAATGTCAGCTCTCATGAGAAATAAGTATCAGAACCTCCTGTCCCCTGAAAAGTAGATTGTTTACCGTGACCTCCCTGCAGTCATAAGAAATTATTATACAGAAAAATATTAACAACAATAATTAATAGCAAATAGCAATTGCTCTGTGCCAGACATTGTTCTTAGCTCATTGCATTTATTTATTACATTCCTCATTTAGTCCTCTCATGTACCATTTTAGTGCCTGTTATTTGATTAGAAAAAATAACTTACATGTATTGATAACAGAGTGTGTTGAACACTGGCCTTTTTTTTTTTATATATATATATTTTATTGATTTTTTACAGAGAGGAAGGGAGAAAGAGAGAGAGCTAGAAACGTCGATGAAAGAGATACATCGACCAGCTGCCTCCTGCACACTCCCTACCGGGGATGTGCCCGCAACCAAGGTACATGCCCTTGACCGGAATCGAACCTGGGACCTTTCAGTCCACAGACCCACGCTCTACCACTGAGCCAAACCGGTTTCGGTGAACGCTGGTCTTTTATGTATATCATCTTATTTAAGCATCATGACGACCCTACAGTTTGGTATTGCCATTGGCAGCAGACTGAGGCTTATGCCCAAGACCCCACAGCTGCCAGGAAATAAGCTTCACTCTTATCGACCTCAAGCCCGAGCTCCTTACCTTGCTGCCATTCCGTTTGTCAAAGGGCTGGAAGCGTGCTCCAGAGGGTCGGCACACCTGACTTGCATAGCGCACAGACCTTGGCTGGTTTTCTTTGTGGCTTTCCATGCCTCCAACATGGGATGTGTCCAGAAATCCTGGCCAGAATCTCCTGGCTCTCTTCCCACAACTACAAACCAAAGCAATCTTTTGGGACTCCTTGATTCTTCTCCCTAAGTGGGAGTAGGAATAAAGTAATCATAGAGTAATCACAGTTCTAAATAGTAGGGAATAGTCAAAAGCAGTAAAAACAAACAAACAAATAAATAAAAGACTGGCTCTGGCCTGGACAGTGTGGCTCAATGGTTAAGCATCTACCATACCAGGAGGTCACAGTTCAATTCCCAGTCAGGGTACATGCTCAGGTTGTGGGCTCAATCCCCAGTGGGGAGGGGGCAGGTGGGGGGCACAGAGCGAGGACGGGTAGGAAGCAGCCTATCGGTGATTTGCTCTCATCGTTGATGTTTCTGTCTCTTCCTCTCCCTTCCTCTCTCAGAAATAAATAAGAACATATTTTAAAAAAACAAAACAAGAGAAAACCTGGCTCTGCTACTTACTAGCAACTTGGAACAGCTCTTGGGTTTCCTAACCTGAGCAATGGGGCAATACAAAAGATTTGAGCTTTGCCCATAGTTACCTCAGCTCACACAGCGGTAACGATCAAAGATGATAACATCTCATTGGAAATGCGACGCACGTGGTTATTATTATACTTTGCTTCTTCACAAGTTTCTGAGGCTTGCCTTTGTTACTGAGGGGGTCTTTGAATAATGTTATTTGATCTAAGATTTAAATACGGGAAAGAATTCTCTGTGAGCTTTGAGGCAGATTCCTCCACCCCACCCCAGGTACAAAAGGAAATACCACTTTTTATTTTTGTGTGTGTGTGTGTGGGGGGGTTTGTTATTGTTAATCCTCACCCAGGATATTTTTCCATTGATGTTTTTAGAGAGAGTGGAAGGGAGGGGGAGAGAGAGAAACATCGATATGAGAGCGACTCATCAATTAGTTGCCTTCGCACATAGCCCTGACCAGGACTGGGGATCCACGCCCTTGACTGGAATCTAACCTGGGTCCTTCAGTCTGCGGGCTGACGCACTATCCTCTGAGCCAAACTGGCTAGGGCAGAAATACCATTATTTAAATGCCTTCTGTGTGCGAGGAATTGTGCTAAGAGTTCACCTCTCATTTAACTGATAAAGAAATCTAGAGAGGTAGCGGTTATTACTTTATAATGAAAGCAGCAATTTGCCAGCATCAGATAGCTAAGAGATAAAAATGAAGATTCAAACTCAAACCTGTGGGAAAACCAATCTCATGAGGTTTGCATTCACTCCAGACAGAAGGGAAAGAAGGAAAGGGTTTTGCACACCTGAGATACCCCAGGGGCATGAGGTTTGTCTGATAATGAATAATAATAATAATTATTATTATTGTTATTACTAGAGGCATGATACTCATGCAAGAATAGGCCTTCCTTTCCCTGGCTTCACTCCCAGCCTCGGGAACCAGCAAGTCCTCACTTCTGTCCAGAGCACGGCTCCTATAGCTCCCTCCACTTCCCGCCTTCTCCTCATAGTAGGTGCCCCGCCCCTCCCAGCTGCTCTGTGGCTGCATATGCAAATTAATCTCTATTTTTCGGTGGGCTAATTTGCATACTCACTCTGATTGGCTGTGGGCATGGCAGAGTGATGGTTAATTTGCATGTTTCTCTTTCATTAGGTAAGATGATTATTATTATTAGGCATTAAGGTTTTGCCACAAAGAAGAAATAATGAAAGCTCACGTTTCTTTTGCTATAGCCTTCCACTTTAAAAAGGCTGTTTAATTTGTGACATATTTCTGGGGAAGGCAGTGAGAAGTAGTTAGGAACAAAAACTACACCCATTTAATAGGTGGCAGTGGGCAGAACTGAGAAAGCAGGAGCAGACGATCCGGATAACATTTGAAAGTGATCGACTCAGAACTGCCGTCAGGACATGCTTCCAGGCACCTGTGCCTCCAGGGCCATCCTTCCTGCCTCCAGCTCCAAGTCATGGGGAGTCACTGCCCTCACACCTTCAAACTCATCTGATCGTTTCTGCCCATTATTCCCCAGGCTTTGGCCCAGTGCCTCCTACTGGGAAACCTGTTCTGAGGTGGAAAAACCTGTGAGACTGGGAAGGTCCCCCCTTGAATCTTTTAACTCAGAGGGTCCCTGACAGTGAGATGCTTTTAAAGCCACAATCCAGCTACTACTGGGAAAAGAGAAGAAAGGCTAATGTGAAACTGGAGGGGGTTTTTGTGTGTGTGTGTGTGTTTTTTTTAAAATATATTTTATTGATTTTTTACAGAGAGGAAGGGAGAGTCACAAACATCAATGAGAGAGAAACATCGATCAGCCGCCTCCTGCAAACCACCAGCTGGGGATGTGCCCGCAACCAAGGTACATGCCCTTGACCGGAATCGAACCTGGGACCTTTCAGTTCGCAGGCCGATGCTCAATCCACTGAGCCAAACCGGTTTCGGAGTAACTGGAGTTTTTAAGTGTGGAGCCCGTGTTTATGCTTGCTAGTGTCGACCCCTAGATATAGTGAGAGGGCCTGGGAATAGTCAGAGCCCCTGTTGTTGATGTAAAGGGATTTCTTCTTTAAAAGTGAAGCTAAGTGGAGGGAAAGGGTGTTCTGTAGGCACGGACCACAGCTTAGCCTCCAATAATCACTTTTTAATACTCATGAGCAGTTAAAAGATGATTTCCCCCTTTTTCATGCTGGTTTTCACACCCCTCTCTCACACTATGAGCATCGGTTTCTAATTGAATAGGATCAGGAACCCTCCCAGGGTCAGAGAGCAAATCAAACGCCAAAATCCATATTAGAATGAAGCCCACATGGAGGGCTGACGGCTGGGTCCAGAGCTTCTTGGAATGCACAGGCCAACTTATCTCCGCCTATCTTGCCAACCTTGCAACTTTTCAGCGAGATGAAAATCAGTTGGTCACTCCTTTACATGAACTCTCTCCCCAATGTACCCTGTTTGCAAAAAAGACCCCCCAAAACAAAACAAAAAGCACCTCATCTTTGGAATCTTCCAGAAACTGATCTTAGGAGATTTTTTTTTTTAATTGCTCATGGCCTTCCCTAACAGATCACACCCTCTTTTTTTTTTAAATTAAATTAAATTAAATTTATTTATTTATTTTATTAAATTATTATCTGTGTACATATTTTAACATTGCCCCCCTCCCTCCCATACATACCCTCCCTCCCCAGAGTTTTGTGTCCATTGGTTGTACTTATATGCATGTATACAAGTCCTTCGGTTGATCTCTTATCTCCCCCAGATCTCCCTACACTCCCCGCTGATCACTCCCTCTCTTCTTCAGGGGAAAAAAAAAAAAAGCCATAGTACAAATAATAATTAATAATCATAAAGACAGCTAGTATTATGTGGCAGGCACTTGTTGCAAGCTCTTTGCATGAATTCATTCATGTAACCATCAAAAGACATTTTTTTTGAACTAGTTCTTCAGTAAAGTAGCCCAAAGAGAAACATCAATATTCTCTCTCTCTCTCTCTCCCTCCCTCGCAATTTCTCTCTCTCTCTCTTTTTTTTTTCTCAGTTGCATGACATTGCAACCAGAAATCACAACTCCGTTTCAGGTTCCTGGTGGTTCCTGCTTCCTCTTCGCATTTTGTTTAGTCACAGAATTCGATTCCTGTTGGCCGACGGCGCGCCAGTAAACAAGCTGAGCTCCGCATTGAAACGCGCACGGCTCCTGCGCTCCCGGGTAAACAGGTAACGCGGAGGGAGGGAGGGGTGGGGCGCCGGTCGGTGGCCGGCTTCTTTGGGGATGAGGATGGGGGTGGGAGTAGTTCAGAACCAACTCCTCGGAGATCAGGCAAGGTGAAGGGAGGGCCTGGGCTTGCCGGTTTCCAAACCCGGCCGCCTTCTGGTTCCCTTTCTAGAAACCCAGCTGTAACTTCAGGGCACGGCGCGCACTCAGTGGAGCCACGTCGGAGTGCGCTGCACCCAGGCCCCGGGCCGAGCTTGCTCCCTCCTGCGCGGGTCCGGGCACTCGCTCCAGGTAAGGACACCCCGGGGGCCAGGGGGTCCCCCTTCCGTCCGGCCGGCCGCGGTGCTCGCTCCGATCCCACCTGGTGGAACAGACGCCTGACCTAGGGGCCGGCATGGGGGCGGGTGGTGCTGCCGATCAGCTCGGGATTCGGCTGCAGGTTCCTGGTTCCTGGGACGTGGCTCTGCTCGGCGTCTCCCAACCGCGCGCAGGGGCGCCGGGCGGGCGTCTCGTGTCGGATCGCGGGGCGCAGGTGCAGCAGGTGCTCCTTTTGGGGTCCCGTCTGGGCGCCTGGAGGGGAGGTGGCTGTCTGAGCGTGGAGGGCAGCCTGCGGCGAAGCCCCCCCGACCTCTCCCGTCGAGGCAGACTCCTTTTTTATTTTTTTAAACCTTTCTGCAAAGGTATCTCGGCTCCTAAAACACAGCAGGAATGTGCTGCGCTCCTGGCCCCCGGCCAGCGGGAGGCTCAGCGAGCAGGATACAGTTTCAGGGCAGATTTACGGGAAGTTCAGTTCTCGGTGCGGAGAGTAAAAATCTGGTTTGGTGAGTTTGAGGGAAGGGAGTAGACGGGAGAGAGACAAACCTTGCTACTGTGAGGCAGGCGGATGGCCCCGGCGGGGGAGGGCGGAGGGAGGCGGGCGCCGGGGAGGGCTCCGGGGCGCTGGGCGCTCCCGGCCGCGGTTCCCCGGGTGCGCGCGGGGCGCCGTCCCGCCCGGAGGATCGCCGCGCTCCCCGGTTCTCGCTCCGCCTGGAGTTGAGGTTCCCCCCTCCTCCCCCCAAACCCGACAGCCAGCTGCCCTCTGGTTCTCGCTCCTGCTCCCCGCTGCGGAGGGTGCTGCCCGGGACAGCGAGGAGCAGCCCGGGCGCGGGGAGTTGTCCCCTCGCGGAGAGCTCTCTCTGCAGGTTTCCAAAGTGAATAATAATAATAATAATAACAATAATAATAATAATAATAATAATTCTGGCCCCTGGGATGCCCAGGACCTGGGAGTGCAGCCTCAAAAGCGACCTGTGGCTTGCAGCGGCGGGCGCGGTGGGGAGCGGCTGGACCCTCCTTATGTCGGTTTTACATTCAAAAAGCGCGAGGCCGGGGAGAGGGAGTGGGGACTGGCTAGCCGTGTCCGTGGCCACCGGGCTGTGAGTGTGTGGTGTCCACGTCTGGAGTGGGGCGACTCCAAATACATGACAAAGGTAAGGTGGTTTTTGGTCCTCCTTTCAACGACTGTGGCTTCGCTTGTCTTACATTTGGGTCCCTATTTTGGAAAAAAAAAAATCCACCCCCCCCTTCTTTTTCTTCTCTCTTTAGCCCTTATATCCCTCATTCCGAAACCTTCCTTGTGACTCTTATATATTTAGTGGGAGAGAAATGGTTTATTAAAAAAAAAAAAAGAATTTTAAAAGCGTCAGCTTCTGGAAAAGCAGAAAATCATATACAGTCCCCCGCTTCATGTTTCCTGCGGTGGTGGAACCTTTTCATCCAAAAAAACCGGAGTTTTGTCACCCTGGAAAACACAGGCTGGGTGACTTTTTGGACTCAGATTATTCCAGTGAGATTGAGGAAACCAGACCGCCATCTCATTTAAATGTGAAGGAAGAGGGGGCATGCCTTCCTGTAGTATTATAGTTTATCTTCAAAGGTAACAGCGGGCGGGAGGCTTAGTTGTTTCAAGTTAAAAATTCAGTCATAAAAGTGTGGGACTGATGAGTTATGGCAGCCGACCAATCACTAGTCACCAGATACGTAAGAAATCAGTTACAACAAGTGAAATGGAATTTTTCAAATAGATTATTTTTTTTTTTGATTAGGTAAAAGTTCGCTTACGCCTGGTTACCGTCTCGAGACCTTTGGGGATGTGGCTTCTGTCCTGAGGCTTATCAAAGTGATAGAAAGACAGTGTCCTTAAGGTACTTCTTATAGGCCATACTGCTCTGAAGGGAAAAATCAAATAATTATGTGTTGTTGTTTTTTCTTCCCAGTGGCATTTGAATGAGTCACTCCATTTTCTTTAGCAGAAATTTAGGTTAGAAATGTATTCTTTAAAAAGTTTTTTTAAAAAATATATATTTTATTGATTTTTCACGATGAGAGAGAATCATCGATCAGCTGCCTGTTGCACACCCTCCACCGGGGATGTGCCCGCAACCAAGGTACATGCCCTTGCCCGGTATCGAACCCAGGACCTTTCAGTCCTCAGACCGAGGCTCTATCCACTGAGCCAAACCGGTCCCGGCTTCTTTAAAGAGTTTTAATGCTGGATCACGTACGTTTTTCAGAGGAGGGATGGCAGAGGATTGACAGCACAGATGTGAAGAGGTGGCCGCAGGGTTAAGCACAGTTACCACCAGATCAAGGGCATTCGAGAATTTCAGGTGCCAGTTCTTAAAGGTGAGGTGGTGTTGTCAGCGGCAAAAAGCACAACCCCTAGACAAACCGGAGTACCCCACTGGGCAATGAGGTAACACTTGGTGGGAAATTGTGTCGCCATTAATGTAAATAATCCTCTTTGTCAGAGGGATGATCTGGAATCTTGGAAGTGAAGGAAGCCAACCTGGTCTGAAAGGGAAATGGGGGGGGGGGGAAAGAAGTTTGTATCCTTTCCTCCCCCACCTAACCCTCCCCCCTATTCCGATATGCTCCCGGATGGGATGGCCTGTTTGGCTTGATTTCTGGGTAATTTAAACAAAGATTAGAACGTTAAAGTGGATGGAATTCCTTTACAAAATGAGTTTGCTTTCCAAATGTTATCCTTGATCTGAAGATTAAAAGTAAATCTCGTTCCCAGGGACTGAGCCACAGGAAAGTATTTGACTGTTTCAGGCAGGTTTCCACCCTTCTGAGTGACTGACACTTTCCAGTCCCTCCGGAGTTTTGAGGACCTGGCAGGGGAAAGGAGACCGAGGTGCTGGTGGGGGGAAGGGGAGCTCCTGGCCACACAGACCCCAGGTTCAAGTGAAACTGGGATTCGATTTCCCCAGAGAAGTCGTAATCCTAGGAAAAAAAAAAAAAAAAACCTACTCTGAAGAGGGTTTTAATTTGGGATTCCTAAGACTTAGAGAAACAATACATTTTTTCATGACTCTAAACATTTGTGACATCGAAGTGAGGGTATAATGCAGCTTAAGAAGTGGTTGTCAGGATGAGCCAAGTTAAAGGTTATATTGGAACGTTGCAGCTGCTGGCCTGATTAAGAGATATATTTTTCCTCTTGGGAGCAGCCTCTGTGACTTACGCTGATGTTGATTTTCTGGTTTAATGTCTTATGAGGTGTGCATTGTCAGCCACACCTCAGAGTGCTTGCTTCAAAGAACTACCGGGAAAAGGTTTTCAAATAATGGCAATGCAGTTTACGAGATGGGGGGTGGGGGTGTGGGGGCGGCTTTAGGATCTCTGGAGAAGGACTATCACAGAAGTAACAGTCATTCATTGTTGGGTCGCCACCTCCACCTGTTGGAACCGTCTCCTGCTGGAGGGATTGGGGGGGAGATGGCACCCTGCCACTTCCTGTGTGTGGTCCCCGGTCAGTCAGACGCTCCTGAGGTCGCCTGGCCTTGACTTCTGAGTGTTCCCACGTCTGTCCGAGTTGCTTCCCTTTCTAGCCTATCAGCATCTGTCTGCGGGAGAGCCGGTGGAGGAGGGGCGGGTGTCCTTTTGAAGTCAGTGTACCCCCTTGTTTCAGAACGTCTTAGATTTTGCCCTGAAAAGGAGGTGGAGGAGAAATTTTCCAGGGAAAGTAGAAGGGGACACGGTGTCTGTAGGAAAAAAGAGCCAAAGAAACGGGGGATTTGCAAACGCTGTTAGTCATGCAGAGTTTACCGGGAAGCTGGCATGGAGGGGATCCATGCCCTCTGAGATTGAACTGTGTCCACTGTAGGGACTTGAAGCTCCTTCCCTCGCTTTGTGTAGTTCAAATGCTCCTGCCGCAGTGCAGTAGATAATTTGAATGAAATGAAGATGTCATCTCTTGGTGCAACCAAAAGTAAACGGATTACAAAAGGCACGAGCCTCCCAACCGCACTCCCACTGTGCCTGTCCTCTGCGTTCTGCAGTGACTTAAGGACACCCGAAAAACACACCAAACCCTCAGCTTCCTTTCTATAGCTGATTATAGACTGCGAGCATTCTTCCTGTGGCGAACGTGCGGTTTTTGCCATTCTATGAATTTAGTTCGTGCAAAACCATTTGTGAAAGGTGCTTGGATGTACATAGCTTACATGTTTGTAAAATACGAAGCACAAGAAAATGGATTCTTTCATATTATAGAAATCATTAGCCACAGGTGATAGTTGCCATTTGGACAAACCCTCTCCGTTTTTTGAGAGAGTCGTTTTAGAAACCAGAAGGTCAATTCCCCACCTTGCTGAAGGTGAGGGTCACAGGCCGGGGGTGAAGGTTGGAGAGCAGAGATGGTATCGGAGAAGTGGCAAACGGAACCCTGAAAACTCTTGGTGTGATTTGGGGGAAATACCAGCCCTTGGGTCTCAGCAGATTCCTGGCAGCGCAAAATATATACTTTATTTTGTAAATTGTAGCCATTCCCATTGATCAAGAAAACAATCTCCGCTCTCTTCCAATCACGATGTTTGTCTTTGGAGGACAGTGTCTGTTTGTGGTTCTTATGACCGTGGAGAACCCAGTGCCAAGGACAACAGTAAGCGCCTGGCGGGTGTGCGTTGGAGAAAGGGGAGTTGCTGACGGTGGTGGCCTCCTGTTTGTGCCTGGCTTTGGATCACAGTCAATATTGCGAACTTGGAAGCTTCCACCCGCCGGGGAGAGAGAGACCAGCTGATCCCAGGATAATCTGTACGTGGGTGAGCAAGAGTTAACTATACGTACCCACGGGCGGCGCACAATGAATGCGGGGCATTGTGCAGGTGAAACAGGAACAGGACGCCGCCACCTGACCAAGGAAATGCCAGCCTGTAAAAATTATAACAAAAAGCCTTCGGCCCTCGGAGCGCCCAGGCCCGGCCTGGCCTTTCCTGGGAAACACAGCTCATCGTGCCAAAAACACCCGAAGAACTATTTACTAAAATGAAGATTTTTCCCCCCAGGTGTTCATTCTCTTAGATCCATTTGATTGCCGCTCTGAAAATGTACATCTGGGCCTTTCGAGCTCAGGCGAAATACCCGTGTTTCTAAAAGGAAGGCTCCGTGCCCGTGAGAGCGCTGTGCCTTTGGAAAAGATGGCTTCAATCATATTTCTCTCTTTTTCTTTCTTTGTTTGTTGTCATTTGGCCTTTGAAATAATAACATGGTTTTCTTGGGACACCGAGCCCTTGCCAAGATTAGGCCCATCTTCGCAGTAGCCTTCTTCAGACAAAGTTGCCTTTGTACAGCGGCGACGGGAGGATTTGGTGACACAGAAAACGCAGCGGGCACTGCAGCTTATTATTAGCAGCGAAGCCGACGGCCTCCTGTGTGTGTGTGTGTGTGTGTGTGTGTGTGTGTGTGTGTTGTTTGCTGTGCGCTCCGAGCTGAGCTCTGTGTTGTGTTTCTCCGCACGGATGGCTGACTGTGTAGACCTGCCCGGGAAGGACGCGGTGGCTGCGGGTTTACTCCGTGGAGTTTAATTAGATCACAAAAGGCCAAAGCCGCAGCATGCCGGTGCCCAGGAGAGCAAGGCTCAGGAGCTGGTTTGTTCTCAGGGTGATCAGCAGAATTTGATCACACGTGGGAAGAAAAAAAAAAAAAAATGACGTCAGCCAGTGTGAAAAAAAATGACAATTTTGGGGGGAAAGAGCTGACGATTGGCTCTAAATTCCAACTGCATGGCCGAGTGGCTAGGAGCGGAGATAGCCTAGGTTCAAATCCTGGCTCTGCCCCTTCCATGCTGTGGGACGTTAGGCAGGTTACCTTTAAAAACAAAACGAAACACCCCGTGACTCAGTTTCCCCAAGTATAAACCGCCTACCTGGCAGGGTCTTGTTAGAACTGAATTAATTGCCCAAACCGGTTTGGCTCAGTGGATAGAGCCTCAGCCTATGGGTTGGAAGGTCCCGGGTTCGATTCCGGTCAAGGGCATGTACCTTGGTTGTGGGCACATCCCCAGTGGGAGGTGTGCAGGAGGCAGCTGGTCGATGTTTCTGACTCTTTCCCTCTCCCTTCCTCTCTGTGAAAAATCAATAAAATATATATATATATATATATATATATATATAAAGAATTTATACACACAAATACACACATAAAA